ATGGTTGGGCAGAGGACCCAGCACACTGTATTCCCTTGCAGTGTGCTTCCCTGCTCCCGCAGCATCCCAAAGTACTGTGCCCAAGGGGCTGTGCGGGGCAATTATGGACTGTGCTGTAACAGGACAGCTGTTCCCAGGTGCCTGCCAGGAGCACACTGAAATCACCCTGGTGTCCCAGACCACCGGTGCTGCCAGACACACCTTGTGTGAAGAGAGGAAGCATCTGCCCAAGGTAAGCTGTGTCACCGGTGCCCCCAGCATCAGCGCAGCATCAGTGCTAAGGGCAGGACAGCTCTGAGATTGAGGAGGTAAGGAGCCAGCCCCATGCCAGGGTCTTGCAAGGCCAGCTCTGCCCTGCTCTGCTCTGTGCCCCGCTCCCATGATCCGCAGACATGGGTGTCCTCATTGTCCTCCCCTGGCCCTGCAGCCAGGGGAGTCCCTGGGTGCCCAGCTCACATGTCACAGCACTGTGGGTCACCCCTGGCAGCACAGTAGGAGCCGGTGTCCCACCGGTGCTCCCAGTCCACCGGGATGCGGCTCCACAAACACAGGGACCGTGGTGTTGGCCTGAGCTTTGCGCAAGCTGCACCCACCTACCTCCAGCCCACTTGTCTCAGATTAGATGTGATTGAAAATCAAATGCAATTTAATTAACAGAAAGGCAAACAGACACTTCCAATGACTGGCTGATCACTCAGCTAATGACTATCATATCAACAGATGGAATTGCAAACCCCTGCAGTGATCAGAAATGAATTGAATCCACTTGCACCCATCACACACCTCTTATGTCTCCTGCTTCCCTGGCTTGGTGGCTAGAGAGGCCATTGCTGGGGGGAACACAGTCTCTGTGCCTCATCCCTCTTGCACACCCAGACTCCTAGTGAGGCCACTGGTGGCACAGAATCGAAGCTGGTTCTCTGGTATCCCAGACTGTGACACCATCCTGGGGACACCAGAGTCTTGGTTTGCCCCTGGTTCTGGGGAGGTCATGGGGCACGGGGGGAGATGGGAGTGGGTGCCTGCCCCAGGGGACTTTGTGACATCTTCCAGGTGAACTGGGCATATAGTTTTCCACCTCTGCGTCATTAAACCAATGCAAAGGCTCTGTGGACACCTACTTACACTTGAAACAGGTTTATTTTGGGTAAAGGGAAAAGACAGAGATTTAGGAACCAATATCCCTCCTGCCTTTGCCCCTTGATGTGAGCACTTTGGACCCCAAGGTAGCATGTGAGACCTCAGCTCCTTGTCTAAACCCTGGTGCGTTAGATGTAATGAGAAGATTCCTGGGTCAAAGTAATGTTTGTAGGTGGGTTTAAGCTGCTGGCTTTTGCAGGCTCACCTCTGCCACGGTTACCTGCAGCACCATGCTTGGGTGAAGGGCTCTGCTCCTTGATGCCACACCAATCTCCCTGCTTGACTTTGCTTCTCCAGGCTGACCATGTCCTCTGCGATGCTCCCTTCTCCAGCCAGCCTAGCTCAGCCTCCTCCTCCTCGGGTGGGCTCTCTGCTCCCTGTGTTCTGCCAGGCAGGGTCTCACTAAGGCTCCACAGCATCAGGATTTTCTCACATGGGTGGAAAGTTTCCTGCTGCCGCGTGGGCGGTTTGGAGTCCTGTGTCACACTCACAGCTGAGGACCACCCTGGGCTGACCAGACCTCGGGGTCTCCAGCTAAGGACCCTGTGGGCAGGCAGACTGCTCCATAGTCCCAGAGCTCCTGTGCACACCCAATTTTCTTGCTTTTTCTTTCCGCTAAAGCCTTGCAAATGCCTGGTGCTGGGTCCCTCTTCTCCCAGCGAATAGAGCCCCATCACAAAGACTCTGCACGCTCACTGCAGGAGAAGCGCTGTTGATCCTTCATAGATTCAGGTGCAGGAGCACTCCCCTCCCACAGTCCTGCTGACATGGAGCAGAGCTCTGGAGACTCTTCTCCCTCCTTAATGCTGCTGTCCCAGTGCCCTCCTGTTGCCACCAGACACCCTCCCTTTGCCATAAACTGTCATTGTCCTCCTGGACTACTGGGAGTGGAGACACCCAGTTCCCAGGGCATTGAGCACTGTGGGGCTGCCTGACCTTCAGCTTCGTGGCTGAAGGTGTATGTGTAACACTGCAAGTGATTCCCACAGACTCCCTGCACTCCTATGTCTTCAGTGCAGGCTTTCCTTACCACTTCTCGGGCTCTTTTCTTTCCTTGCAGACTTTACACTCTTGCCAAACATTCTCCTTGGTGTCTCTATGTTCCCTGTGTGCTGGGGGAGCAACCCCTCTCCACCAGCCTCTCTGCCTTGTGCTCAAAAGGGAGTTCTTAGCTGGGTTTTGCACCTTTTCTTTCATGAAGTCCCAGCTCTTTCCTATGTCTGCAGGCTCAACGTCCCCAATCTGCCCAGCTGCGGTAACCAGCCCTCCTCCCTTGTCCTGATTTGTGCTTGTTCACAGCCACAGCCACCAATCTGTTCCTATTGATGTTGCCATTTCTGCAGAATGGCATTGACTCATCCCTACTCGAGCTGAAGTTATTTTCTCAGACAGTTCTTCTAAAAACAGCCTCTTTTTCAGGAACAGGTACAAAAAAACCTCATCACTTTCTGCAGCGACCTGGTGAGGAGTCACATGAGGTATATCCAGGGAGATCTGGAATGACCATTGTGGATGAAGCTGTGATTTATTTACCACCACCCCTCCAACGAGTTACTTTTCCTGGATTAGTTTCTCCCCTGGAGCTTTGTCCTCACCCCAGTCTGGCTGGGAATGTGTGACAAGCTCCCAGACCCTCCCTTCGCTCCTTCCCAAGGCAATTTAGATCCATGAAGACATTTTGATGGTGCCTTTCAGTGTCTTGTGCTGTTCCTATCCTTCCTCCTCACTTCCTGCACTTACTGTCTCCTCCTGTCACCTCCATTACTCTGCACAAGCTATTTCTCTGACCTCTGGGAACATCTGTTGCCGTAGGGGGGTCCACATATTAATTTGAGTTCCTCCATACCTTTGGTACATATGGAGTTCCTCCATAGCTCTGGTACGTACGGAGTTCCTCCATAGCTTTGATACCAGTGGAGTTCTTCCATACCTCTCATACCTATACAGTTTCCTCATAGCTTTGCATGACACCATAATTATTTGTTTCCTATGGACCATCTGCTCTTCCTGAGCCAGAGGAGACACCAGCCTCCTGCTACCCACTCTCCAGCTGCTCTCATCCTTACCAGTGTTTCCCTTCCCTCTGTAGTTAAGCCCTTGTTTACCAGCTCCTCTTCCAGCACAACCCAAATGAGCAGGGACAGGACATTCCTCTCCTTGACATCCATTCTCTTTGTAGTTCAAAGCCTGGCATCATATCCCTGAAGGCTTCTGCCATCCTGCTGGCTGCCTCCTTACATTAACAGGAGTGCCCATGGAGGCTTCCAGCATCTTGAGCACCCCAGCCCTTGCTGTGGCATCCAGCCTCGGCTGGCTGCCGCCCCCCCCCCCCCCCC